AACTGGATTATACTTATTTTTTCACCTTTACTCTGACTAGTGTATAGAGTAGTGTATAGTATAGTGTAGCATATAGTAAGGGCCTTTTAGGTCATTGGAAAAATTTGCTCAAAATTAATTACTTTTCAACTCAATAATATCATTAATAAACTTTGCTCTTCAAGGTTGCTTTAAAAGAAACATCAATTATTTTATTTCAGTGTTTTATGCTGAAACTTTCTTCATTTTTCACCTCGAGCCAGGAGTTAGAGACCAGCCTGGGCAACAGGGTAAAATCTCATGTCTACACAAAATACAAAAATTAGCTAGTAAAAAATTATTGGTAATAATTTATCGATAATTAAAATACTGCACAGCTATACTTACATTGTTATGATTTTGTCTTTTTATATTTCAATATACTAAACATTAAATTATATATTTAGTTTCACTAATTTTACTTTAAATTTTTTTGACTCATGAATGTCGTAAGAAATAAAATACAGATATTTAATTACATGCAATTTTTTTTTGGCAAAAATTCTCCAAACAGCATATTGTCATTTTCTTCTACTATTACAACCATATCTCAGGAGAAAAACAGAGAAGCCTTTTTTTAAAAATGTGTCTGGCAATAAAGACTTTATGAAAGAAGCTTATCTAACCTGGCCTGGGTTCTCTATAGAGGAGGAAAAATCATACTTGAGAATTCACAAACACAGGGTGGCTTTCGCAAACCTTAGATTCAAATTTATACTAATTACATGATTTATGTAATCCCAGTTAAATAAATTTTCAGTGGTTCTTGATGGTAGCACACAAGACACCTGAAGAAAGAAACACATAATCTCTACAGAAGCACACACCCTCGATGCAGACATCATGGGATTCCCACAGGTAAAGCCCAATCAAACATGAACTTACAATACAAATTTAAAATGCACAAGAAGGTGGACCACTAGGAGGGAGTCAGCAGAAAAAAAAAAACAAACAAACAAGAAAACATCCAAAGAATGGGAAGAAAAACACGGCATAATGAGATCCTTGGAGATAATTAGATTTTATATTCCTTATCTGAAATGGGTAGTTAAGATTAAAGATAGAAAAGAGTAGATCTAAAATATAAACAAGAAGTATGACATTAAAATATCTCAGGCAAACTTGAAAACAAATAGAAGTTATAAAAGTGACAATTATCAAAATTAACCAATGGGTAGGTTAAAAACAGATGGGAATGAACTGCTATAAAAAGAATTAAAAACTAGAATAAAGATCTAAAAAATTACACAGATGCTACAGAGACAGACAGAAAATATGAGATGAGCAAGACGAGGACTAATAGTGTAGAATTAAAAAACAGAAAGTCCATTATAAACTCGGAATTGGCCAGGTGCCGTGGCTCACGCCTGTAATCCCAGCACTTTGGGATGCCACGGTGGGCAGATCATGAGGTCAGGAGATCAAGACCAGCCTGGCCAAGACGGTGAAACCCCTTCTCTACTAAAGATACAAAAATTAGCCAGGCATGGTGGTGGGTGCCTATAATCCCAGCTACTCGGGAGGCTGAGGCAGAACCACTTGAACCCAGGAGGTGGAGGTTGCAGTGAGTTGAGATCGCAACACTGCACTCCAGTCTGGGCGACAGAGCAAGACTCTGTCTCGAAAAAAAAACAAACTCAGATTTGATTATAATTAAAACTTAAATCTGGAGGATATAAGTTTTTAACAGAAACTTTCCAATATGTATGGCCAGAAGCAGTGGCTCACACCTGTAATCCCAACACTTTGGAAGGCTGAGGCAGGTGGATCACCTGAAGTCAGGAGTTCAAGACCAGTCTGGCCAACATGGCAAAACCGTGTCTTTACTAAAAATACAAAAAATTAGCTGGGCATGGTGGCAGCTGCCTGTAATCCCAGCTACTTGGGAGGCTGAGCCAGGAGAATAGCTTGAACCTAGGAAGTGGAGGTGGCAGTGAGCCAAGATTACGCCATTGCACTCCAGCCTGGGCAACAAGAGTGAAACTCCTTCTCAAAAAAAAAGAAACTTTCCAATATGTCATTATATAGAAAAGTGCAAAAGGCTGGCAAAAATTTAGAAAGCATTTACTTCATGAACATTAAGAATATAAACATTAGGTCGGGCACAGTGATTCACACCTGTCATCCCAGCACCTTGGGAGGCCAAGGCAGGCTTGAGCCAGGAGTTAGAGACCAGCCTGGGCAACATGGTAAAATCTCATGTCTACACAAAATACAAAAATTAGCTAGGTGTGGTGGTGCATGCCTGCAGTTCCAGCTATTCAGGAGGCTGAGATGGGAGGATCACTCAGCTTGGCAGGTGGAAGTTGCAGAGATTGTGCCACTGTACTCCAGCCCGGGTGACAGAGTAAAACACTGCCTCAAAAAAAAAAAAAAAAGAATCATAATCACTAAGCCATGTTGCATTTTTATACTTCTTTAACTGATTGCTATAAAATTGAGCTGTTTGCTAGAAATTTTCCTATGACAAGCTACTTTAACTATAGTGAATTATTTTTTATAAAATGTTAAGTCTCAGGATCATAATACATGTACATTCATTTGTTGAGGAAAACAGTATTTGCTTATTGAATGATTCAAAGAGATACTATGTTTTATAATATTTAATCCGGCATGACTTTAGTGATCTTGTTATAATTAACCAGTATAAAACCACACATATCCCTTTTAAGTTAAAATCCACCTGTTTTCCTCTTGAATCAATGATAGAAATTAAAATAAAGGTGAATATAGAAGAATATATATAAGTTTTTGACACAGGGTCTCACTTTGTCACCTAGGCTGGAGTGCAGTGGCGTGTTCATGGCTCACTGCAGCCTTGGCTTGCTGGGCTCAAGCAGTCCTCCTGCTTCAGCCCCCCAAGTAGCTGGGACTACAGATGCACGCCACCATGCCCAGCTAATTTTTGTATTTTTTTGTAGAGACAGGATTTTTCCACTCCTGAGCTCGAGCAATCTGCCCACCTTGGCCTCTCAAAGTGCTGAGATTACAGGCATAAGCCACCGTGTCTGGCCCTTATGAAGAATATTTAAAAACAAAAATATAGAATCATGAATTTTCTATACAACCTAACGTAAAGATCTTGTCCTACAAGGAGCCACTAACACTAGCAGACAATTTTTCAGTACTAATATAAGACATACATCCACAGATTCGGAAAGCACAACAAATCCTAAGCAGCATACATGAATTCAGAGACATGCATGATGTTATTAAACCACAGAACTGCAGAATAAAGTAAAAGAGAGAAGTGGAAACAAGAAGACTCATATATTTCAACCAAGAACTCCAGAAGCAGTTGTATTAGCATTTAAGAATGAGAGTAAAAAATCAAAATATGTTCAGACTAGTGGTATACTAAGGTCAGGGTGGTTGTAACAGTTTATTCTAAGTGTCAATATGCTGCCTATAGAGAACTTTTAAATAATAATAATAAAACTGAATAAAAATTAATCTGCTTTTTAGGAACAGTGATGTCAGTGACAAAATACTTTTGCTGCCAGGATAGACCACTTCCACCATTCTGCCCTTGATAAACCACTGATTCAGACAAAAGGAGCTAAGTAAATTTCTAACAAATCTTTCATTAAAGAAACTCTAAGGTAGGAAAAAGAAAATGATAAAAGCAAAAAGTATGATATCCAAGAAGAAAAGGTAAACAAAGAAATGTATAAGCACAAAAAATCCTGAATAAACAATGACTGAATAAAACAATAATAATGACAATTGAAGGGGGTTATTGAGGGTAAAAAAAATTCAAAGCTGGACATCAATAACTAAAAAAGGGGAGGACAGTGACCAGAGTTCAAGTGTTCTAGAGACTGTGATAAACTTTAGATTATTAGTTGTTTATATATTAAATACTTAACGGTAACTCTAAAAGAGAATAGACCATGACTTTTAAGTCAATAGAAGAATTACAATTCATGCTACCTATCTTCAAACTGGCCTTTACTGTGGTTAGATAATCCTTGCCTTCATCTGTTGATGCCATTTATATATATATATATATATATATATATATATATATATATATATATATATATTTGTTTTTTCTTTGAGACAGGGTCTCATTCTGTCCCCCAGGCTGGAGTGCAGGAACATGATCTCTGCTCACTGCAACTTCTGCCACCCAAGTTCAAGAGACCCTCCCACCTCCACCTCCCAAGGACCTGGGACTATGGTCATGTGCCATCATGCCTGGCTAATTTTTGTACTTTGTGTAGAGACAGAGTTTCGCCATGTTGCCCAGGCTGGTCTTGAACTCCTGAGCTCAAGTGATCCTCCTGCCTCGGCCTCCCAACGTGTGCTGGGATTACAGACATGAGCCACCATGCCCAGCCTTGCTATCATATTTTTTACAGTAACTATTCCTAACTTTTGCAACTAGTACTCTTCCTATAGTATCCTCATCCTATAATATTCCCTGCCACTTTGCTTAGAAACTCGAAGCTGCCCATATATCTTCAACTACCCTAGGTTAATAGTAACGGCCTTGCTCCTATAATTGAGCCTTGCCCATCTCTCTACCTGACAGCTTCATCTGCCTCCTACAAATGGACTAAGTTCTATTTACAATATCCTTCCCTCAACTGTCTACCCTCAACTGTCTACCCTCTTAGTTTCCAGTTCTTTTTTGATTTTAGTCTCCACTATGCCTTAGAAAAGTTTCCAGTTCTAAATTATGTATAATCCATAGTCACAAAGGAGAGAAAAACTTAGCTTCTGTTTACTTCCTATATTCTTTATTCAACAAGTTATTGGAAATTTGCTCAGTTTAGGCATGATGATAGGAGGTCCCATAAAGCAAAGACTGAGTACAATTACATTTCTCTATGTGGCACCATGAGCAAGTAGACGTTGAATAAATATTTCAACATATTTAAAGTCTTTTTAAAATGTGCCTAGTCTTGCTTTCTTATATTTGTAAAGGTTAGAAAACGTGACAGCTTAACCTATGTTCAAGTCTAAGAGCCTCTTACCCTTTTTCAGCTTCCGGACAGCCAACATACAATGACTAGGAGAGAGATCCCATATTCTTAAGGTTTTATCATCACTTACAGTAGCACAGATGGGCAGATAAGGGTGTGTAGCTAAACCCCACACCTCTCCTTCCATGTGTCCCTATAAAGAAAACATAGGATCAATTTAGTGTATGCGTGTGTGTGTGTATTTATACACAGTTTTATTTAGAATAAAGCTAAAGATAACATTCAATAATATGTGAAAATAGATAGGATACTGACTAGTGAGTAAGTCTAACAAAACTTTTCTGTTTATCTTTGGGAAACACAATAAAATATCTCTGTAACAACTTTAGCCGCACAATTACAATATAATCAAGTGACAATTAAAGTTAGCTTGTAATCCTAAAACATTCTCTGGGTGGAGAGAATAGGAATCAGCTGCTCTGGAATGTTAGTAATTGCCACACAGGAGGCACTTTCCTGCATCAGAGAATGAGGAGCTCCACAGACCTGCTCACCAGTGAAACTAGTAAAAATCAATTAAAAAAAAACACAACCATTTAAAGTCTCCGAAAATAGTTCCAAGGAGATGCAACAAAGTAAGGAACATTTATTCAAGAAAATCTGCTAAAATTTGTTAAGAACAGTGAGAGTCTATGGTATTTAAACTGAGATCCACTCCCTTCCTCTCTCCTTATCTAGATGGAAACTCCGAGACTGATGCAACCAAGAACACTAGGCTCTCCCTCCCTAGAGCTCCCGCTCAGAGCGCTATCTTCCCAGGCAGGGCAGGATGTCAGCATTTCTCATCCTGCCCTCAGTCTCCTGTTGCTGAGGCTAAATTCTTACTGAGCTCAGCTGACAGATGAGAGATAGCTTCTGCCCAGCCCCTCCTCCAGATGGAGGCTCTACTTTGGATATGGTGCCTCTGAGAATAATGGGGTCCTGGTGGTAACTCAGGAACAGCTGAGACTACTGTCCACTGTCCCCTCTCCCCTTACCAAGTACTCAGGGCCTAAAGCCTGAGATACTCGAAGATAAGGATTCCATTGACCTCACTCTCAACTCCAGAGCCCTAGTTCAGAGATTTTGCCTGGAGGGAGAGACAACCAGAAAACCAGATAGCTCCTAATCTCTTCTCAAAGGAACTGACTTCACTTACAGCGGAGTGTGAAAAAGTTCATGCGTAAGTATGCTCTCAAAAATGGTGAAAATTGTTTTGAAAATTTCTTAACTATTCTTGAATATTTTTTCTTCTATATGGTTTTTAATATGTTTCCAGAATTTGTAAAAAAAAATCTAATAAAAAGTAATTGGGAGGAGACTGGTAGGCTCACTGGAAATATAGGCTAAACTGTAGGCCAGCTAGTTTGTCCAAGAGAACCAGCTGGGAGGAGGATGCTTGGAGTCAGAAACAAACCTCAAACACTAACCTTGGGAAGTATCCCTTTAAAGGAACCTGAATTTGATTGGTTTAGCCTGTGGCACAATTTATGCCTGAGGAAAATGTTGAAAACTGAAAACAATAGAGCAATAAGCTAGCAATTAAAGGAGTTTAACAGTTGGGTGTGGTCTGGGAAAGAGACAAAGATGAGGGAACCCTTCCTGAATTATATTATAAAGTCATTATTACCCTGATATTAAAGCCTGATTTCTTGTGATATCAAAGATATCACAAGAAAACTAAAGACCAATATCCCTTATAAATACTAATGCTAAAATCCTCAACAAAATAGTGGCAAACCAAATCCAATACATATAAAAAATTAGATACCACAACCAAGTAGGATTTATCCTAGGAATGCAAGATTGACATTACATAAAAAATCAATGAATGTAATATACTATATCAACAGAATTAAAAATGAAAACCACATGATCAGCTTAATAGACACAGAAAAATTGACAAATCTCTCCCCATCTATGATGAAAATGCTCCTCAAACTTGGAATAAAAGGGTAGTAACTCCTCAACTTAAAATTAGTAAGGAGCATCTATGAAAAACCCAAGTTAACATTATACTCAATGGTGGAGGACTAGATGCTTTCACTCTAAGACCACGAACAAGACAAGGATGTTCTGTTCTCACCACTTACATTTAACAGTGTACTGGAGGTTCTAGTCAGGACAATGGGACAAGAAAAAGAAATAGCAGGCATCCAGATTGGACAAGAAGAAGTAAAACTACGTGTATTTACAGATGACATAATCTTGTATACAGAAACTCCTAAATAATCCACTATAAAACTATCAGAACTAATAAATGAGGTCAGCAAGTTTACAGGTTATAAGGTTAATGTGAAAATCTACTGCATTTTGATATACAAGAAATGAATAATATACAATCAAAATTAAGAAAACAATTGTATTTATAACAGCATTAAAAATAATGAAAGTTAAAAATAAATTTAACAAAATGAGTGCAAGATCTATACACTGAAAACTACAATACACTCAGAAAAAGTTAAAAGAAGATCTAATTAAATAGGGAGCTTATCCCATGTTCATGGACTGAAAGACTTAATGTTATGATGGCACTTACTCACCAAAGTGATCCATGGAATAATGCTGCTACAAACACTGTACAGTTTGTTGTTGTTGTTGTTAAATATATGTAAACACTTCTGTAGGGTACATATATTCCTATACTTGTAATTACTATCATTTTATAATATTTTTATTTCTAGCATGGAGAGTTTCTCAAAGTTTTCTTAACTATTCTTGAATATTTTTTCTTCTATATGGTTTTTAATGTCTTTCCAGAATTTGTAAAAAATCTAATATTTTGATTGTGATTAAATTTATACAACTTATTTCTTTTATTCTTTAGTAAAATCTTACAGTTTTTTTAACACAGGTCGAGTATATTTTTAGCTATATTTATTCCCCGTTACTGTATTTTTTGTGTGTGTGAGCACCATTCTTTTAAAGAAATGAGGTCTCCCTCTGTCACTCAGGCTGCCATGCAGTGGTGCAATCATAGCTCACTGCACCCTTGAACTCCTGGGCTCAAGTGATCCTCCTACATTAGCCTCCTGAGTAGCTGGGACTACACATGTGTGCAAGAAAACCCAGCTAATTTTATTTTATTTAGAGGTGTGTGTGTGTGTGTGGGGGGGTCTCACTATGTTGCCCAGGCTGATCTTGAACACTCGGCTTCAAGTGGTTCTCCCACCTCAGCCTCCTGAGTAGCTGGGATTATTGGCATGAGCAACTGCACTTGGTGCAAGTAACATTTTATTTATTTATTTATTTATTTACTTATTTATTTATTTATTTATCTATTGAGAGGGAATCTTGCTCTGTTGCCCAGGCTGGAGTGCAGTGGCACGATCTTGGCTCACTGGAACCTCCACCTCCCAGGTTCAACCAATTCTCCTGCCTCAGCCTCCTGAGTAGCTGTGATTACAGGCGCCTGCCACCATGCCTGGCTAATTTTTGTATTTTTAGTAGAGACGGAGTTTCACCACACTGGCCAGGTTGGTCTCAAACCTGTGATCCACCTGCCTGAGCCTCCCAAAGTGCTGGGATTACAGGTGTGAGCCACGGTGCCCAGCCAGCAAGTAGCATTTTTAATATCATATCTTCTAACTAGTTATTGCTAGTGTATAGAAACACTATTGATTTTTATAAGTGGATTTTGCATCTAATCACTTTACAGAACTCTTTAATTAGTTCTAATATTTTTTCAGTTTATTCCCTTGATATTCAAGGCATAGGGTTATAACACCCAAAAATACCAATACTGTTGTCCATTCCTTTCCAACACATACACCTTAATTAGTGTTTTGTTTTACTGGATTGGCTAAGACCTCACACAAAATGCTGGACAATAATGGTGTGATCTGGGATCCTTATCTTGTTTCCAATCTCAAGAAGAAAATAAGACAATTGAAATCTTGAACTCTACAATAAATACTAAAAACAACAGGACATTTTAAAAAATTTTAACTGGGAGGCCAAAGGTTCGGCGCTTTAGGTTCCTATGTAAGCAAACCAAAGCCCAATGTAAACAGTGAAATGAAACTAGAGACTATGCCAATCAGAATCTGCCAACCAATCTCTAAGTGAGGTCTTTCCATTCTAACCAATCAAATACATTTTTTTTTTGTTTTACTTCCGGACTCAGCCTATAAAATCTCACTGCCCACACTGCTACAGTGGATCTCTCTGAGCCTTTTCCAGTGCTGCCTAATTCATGATTTTTTTTTTTTTTTTTTTCTGAGACAGGGTCTCACTATGTTGCTCATGCTGGGCTCAAGCAATCTGCCCACCTCATCTTCCCAAACTCCTGGGCTCAAGTGATCTGCCTGCCTCAGCCTCCCAAAATGCTGAGATTACAGGCATGAGCCACCAAGCCAGCCCTCTTTTAATGTGCAGATTAACTCTGTTAAATTTATTTTGTCTAAAGTTTTTCTCGTAACAGACATTATTTGTGACTTCTAAATCTTTTTTCACAGTTAAGAAACTGTGTTTTTAATAATTTCATATTTGGATTCATCTGTAAAAGCATACTTGTATTAATATTTTCCAAAACATCACAAACATGTTAAACACCATGACCTCACCATCTTTTTACTTCAAAGGCATATTATGTAAGTGAAATTAAACAGTCAGTAAGACACCAATTAATTTAACATATAACATTTCGTCATCTGTGTACAAATTTTCCTTGACCCATCAAAATGTTACATTAACATTAAAGCCTGCCCAGTGTTCTCATCTAGGTGTGCTCATTGGTGTTGTAACAATGAAGTGGGGGTTGCAGAAGAAATAAGTCTGCATTAAGAAAGAAAATTGTTTTTCAGGGTAAAAAGGCAAGCCAAAGTTTGGTGTTGCTATGTAGAGTTGCATAAGGACAATTTTTCAACAAGATGTATCCTATTTCATTTACTGTTTTATGGTATTAATTTATTTCCCTATTTTCCAGAAAAATATAATACATAGAAGAAATATAAATCTACAAATCAAATCCAGCATTCCTGATGGAAATGTTAAGGATCATATAACCAGCACCTAATCTTGCTTTTTAATTTTACATCTCTATCATATAATGTTTATATTTCTGGATTGTTTTATTATTTATATCTTTTCACTGATATTTAATTTTCAACAATAAACTTTTAGCATACATTCACATATTCATTTTTATTTTTTCTTAGAAACTTAAGAATGACATAATAAAGAGTTTCAGAGAAAAATAATTGCCTTAGGCTCAACAAATATACCTTACATAAATAAAATTAAAAACAGACTGGGTTAAATTAATTACAACTGGTTTTTCTTTTCATTGGTCCCTTATTTTGTGATAAGAAATTACTTAAAATATTGGCAATTATTCCATATAAGAATATGTATATTTACTAATACCCAATCATTTAGCTATAACCAAATTTGATTTTTTTTCTGTATACATTAACAAATATTTCCCTAATTTAACATTATTTTTCATCACTGTCAACTTTTGGCTCTTATATATTGAAATAATCAATTGTATGTAAAGAAAAAAAAGCAAATTAGCATTTAAAATTACCTGAACCAGAAGTGTTATTGGGCCACTTTTATCCACTTCTAGTATTTCGCCATTCTTTGTGCCAACTAAAATATGACCATGTCCTAAGGATATGGCACGTATAGATGGATTATCTTCCAAGAGAAGACCTGAAATGTTAAATGAAGATGTTCTTCTAGACATACAGTTACTATAATACAAGGGTGTATATATTGCCAATTAAGCTACTTTGACAGTGAAAATCATATTACAAGGTTTTCTCCTGTATTTTTTCTAATAAATGTACTACATTATCCCCAATCATTCAATTGAGTAATCTCAAAATAAGTACCACCTATGTATTATAATTCTATGATTCTATTCTCAGATTTCCTCCTACCATTCTGACAACTATTTGTTTACCTCTTCTTATATTAGCCCTTCCTTATCCATCTCCTGCCCCTCTTAGAGTATTTGCAATATTCTTATTAGTAATTTTAATTCAACTCAAGATACATAGTCAGCCCTCAGTATCCTTCAGGGATTGATTCCAGGACCACCACAGACACCAAAATCTATGGATGCTCCAGTCCCTCATATAAAATGGTGCAGTATTCGCATATAATCCACATACATCATTCCTTTTTTTTTTTTTTTCCAGGATGGGGTTTTGCCATTTTACCCAGACTGGTCTTGAACTCCTGGGCTCAGGAGATCCACCCACCTGGGACTTTCAAAGTGCTGGGATTACAGACGCAAGCTACCACGCCTGGCCCCCATATGCTTTAAATCACCTTTAGATTGCTTATATCTAGTACAATGTAAATACTATGTAAATAGCTGTTATACTGTATTTTTAATTTATATTATTTTTATTGTTCTATTGTTACCTTTTATTTTTCTCTCGCATATTTTCTATTTGCAGTTGGTTGAATCTGAGGATATGGAACCCCTAGATACAGAGGGCCAACTATATTTATGTCTACTTGTCCTAGGGAGGCTTCAGCAACACATTAGTAAAGATGATAGACCCAAATCCTGCCCTTCCAGAGCATACAATGAGGAAAACAGACCCTGTGTTAGGGGCATATTGAAATAGGAGCACATAGCAGTGGAATTGAACTTTTTCAAGAGGAGGTGAGTGCAGGTGGGGGAAATCATCCTAGAAAAAAGATCAGGTTTGACATCTGAAAAATAAGTATGTTGTCAAGTAACTGGAGGGGGTAGGAGGGAAGAGGAAGGACATGTTTTAGGAAAAAGTAAAAACATGTAGAAAGGCCCAGAGGTCAGGGAGAGTGTGATGCCATGCCTTAAAGGAAGAAATGTGCTCAAAAGAAAATGCACCTTCTGGGCCCACAGCCCGGAGGATGGTCAGTGGACAGGGAGTTGGGCCTAATACTGCCCTTGCACCCTTCCTCCTCTTAAAAAAAAAAAAAAAAAAAGCCAAGCACAGTGGCTCATGCCTGTAATTTCAGTGCTTCAGGAGGCCAAGTTTAGAGGGTCACTTGAGTTTGAGACCAGCCTGGGCAACATAGAGAGACCCTGGCTGTACAAAAATTTGAAAATTTGCTGAGTATGGTGGCAGGCACCTTTAGTCCCAGCTACTCAGGAGGCTGAGGCAGGAGGACCACTTGAGTCTAGGGGTTCAAGGTTTCAGTGAGCTATGACTGCACCACTGCACTCCAGCCTGGGCAGCACAGCAGGACCCTGTCTCTTAAATAAATAAACAAACAAACAAACAAACAAATGGCAAACGGAAAAAGGGCCTGTGAGGCTAGAGAAGCAGGGTCAACAAAATGCCAAGGTGAAACAAAATGTCAAAGTTGCACACAAGTTCCTGACTGGTAATAAATGTGATGTTCACATGGAAATTTTCTTTGGAAAATTAATGTTAAAAATTAGGATTCATAATCTTGTACCTCACAAATATTTTACCATGTGCATCACAGAAAATAGATTTTTGAAAAGACGGCAATGATTCTGGTATCATTAAGTGATTTCTTCCACTTAATGCTGATGCCCAACAAGAAGGAAAAATATATGCCATGTGTTCCACCTCAGTGATCAAGCATATTAATAAGCAGTTAATCTTTTTTCCTATAAAAATCTCCCATAAGTCTCAAATCACCTTTAGATCCCGGGGCCAATGCAGCTCTTTTTATAGCATAGGTCTTGAGACATCTTTCAAAAGAGTCATCCCAAAGAGCTATTATACCATCTTTTCCTCCAGTTACAAACCCCTATGAAAAAAAAGGTCCAAGTTAATAAAAATCTAAATTTTTTTTAAATAGTAGCCTTTTTCCTTATATTGAAAACTTCTAGAAAAAAGAATATAGCCAAAAGTTACAGCTTGTAAAGAATAGGAATAAGCATAAGAATCCATTGTTTTTTAAACCGTCTACATGGAATCCGCAATAATATTTACAGTGACACTAAACATTTTACTTTTAGGATGGGGCTTTAGAAACATAGTTTCTAAAATCTGTAACTATACCTCAGATTACCACTCAGAAAGTTACATATATCCTCCTGGAGTCTACATAATAACCTCATCCTTAAAATGAGAAAACAATAATAGTAACTACCTGATATGGTGATTATATATAAACAGCTGGTTTTTGACACATAGCATGAGCTTAAGAACATGAAGTTAAACTTTAAAAAAAAGAAAAAAGAAAAAAAACAGCAGACCTGGCTGGCACAGTGGCTCATGCCTGTAATCCAACACTTTGAAGGCTGAGGTGGGAGAAGAGCTTAAGCCCAGGAGTTGGAGACTACACTGGGCAACATAATCTCTACCAAAAAATTTTTAAAAATTAGATGGCAGCAGGTGGCACTTGCCTGTAGTCACAGCTACTCCAGAGGCTGAGGCAGGAGGATTTCTTGAGCCCAGGAGTTGGAGGCTGCAGTGAGCTGTGATCACACCACTGCACTCCAACTTGGGTGACAGAGTGACCTGTCTCAAAACAAAACACTGCAGACCTATTTCATTCTGTGTTCAGGAGTTTGAAAAGAGAAACAAAGAAAAGTCAAGATGAGCCTAGCCCACAGACTACTGCTGGATAGTCCAGCCAAGCAGAAAGGCAGTGTTCCTTTACTTCTGAAAACGCTTTACTCTCCATGACAGATTATGTTTAACTTGAAATCTCTTTAGGTTACTTACTTTTTCCAAAGCATGCATACTGAACACTGGCCCATCATGTGCTTTCACTGTTTTTACAAGAAAGATGTCCCTCCAGATACACACATCTCCTGTGGATGTTCCAGAAAAAGCCATCTCTTCAGTCCATCCATACACTGCACACATCATTGTGTCATTTTTCCCCAGTGTGCCTATGTAGCCTTTTCTTCCAATCAATCCTCCCCCTAGTTCACAAAAAATATTATGAAAGTACCACTTTCAAAATGTATGCAATTATAAAGAAGCAAAATTCCTTTTCTACTGTTGTTGTTGTTGTTTGAATAGAAAGGTATGCAACAGTAAGGAGAACTGAAAAATACAGGTGTCTCAATCAGTGATGCGGGTAACACCTTGCATATCTGCATTAAGACCGTAACTTTTTAGATAAACAAAGACCTGGACTAAGCCCGTTTTAATCAGTCCTTAGCACTTTTGATGATGTTTTTTAAAGTTTTCATTATGACATATTTAAGAATACAAAAAGGCATTTAAAAACCCCAATACAATGAATGCCTGTACATCCACTGACCTACAAAAAGATCCCAGAGTAACTGAAATGTCATGCCAATCTCATCTCCCTTCTTCACCCTCTGCTATTGTGAATGTGATACTGATTCTTCTCCTGCATTCCTTTATATACAACATATTCGTGAATTTTTAAGCAATGTCATGTTTTTTCATGTTTTAAATTTTTCTATAAATATCATCCTGTATGTATTCTTTTGCAACTTGCTTTATTCACCAATGATTTGTTATAGAGTTGTTTACATGTTAGAAAACTCACTTTCATAACCATATAGCATTCCATTATATAAACATACCATGGTTTATCCATTTTCCTATTAATGGGCATTTAAGTTACTTCCAAGATTTTGCTATTAAAAGCAATGCTGCTTTAAACATTCTTGTAAAGGCCTCTTCTACACGAGTGCAAGAATTTCTCTAGGAATGCCTGGGAATAGTAATAGAGTAATGTGCAAAAAGCATAGCATATAGATCAGAGAGGGATCAGCTCTTGCCAAACTGTTTTCCAAAGTTTATATACCAATGCACATTCCTACTAACAGTGAAAAGAATTCCTTGTTTCCCACCTTTGGGAACAGTTTGTGTTGTCACACTGGGGAATATGAAACACCAACTGAATTTTATTGTGGTTTAAATTTGCATTTCTGTGAATATTATGCTTGATCATATTTTCATATTTTTATTGGTCATCAATCCTATTGATATCTTTTGCCCATTTTTCCCAATTGAACTCACAAATTCCTTCCCTCCTTCATTCATTCAAGAAATACATTAGCTGGGCATGGTGGTGGGCGCCTGTGGTCCCAGCCACTTGAGAGGCTGAGGCCGGAGGATAGATTGAGCCTGAGAGGCAGAGGTTGCAGTGAGCCATGATTGTGCCACTACGTTCCAGCCTAGGTGACAGAGCAAAACCCTGTCTCAAAAAAAAAAGAGAAAGAAAAAAGAAATATACATGCTAGGCACTATTCAATGTACCAGGGATAGACTTATGAACAAAAGAGGCAAGACAACAAAATTCCTTGGAGCTTCATGGTGAGAGACAGTCAATAAATGTAACTAGTAAAATATACAGTGTGTTAGATGATGATGGGTGCTTTGGAGAAAATGTAAGCATAAAAAGGAGACAGGAAGCAGGAGGAGTCCATTTTAAGTAGGGTGGTTAAGGTAAGCCTCATCAAGATGTATCTAAATGAAAAGTTGAAGGAGGTAGCAAGAGCAAGCCATGCTAGAAGAGTGTTCCAGGCAGAGGGAGCAGCACGGGCAAAGGCCCCAGTACAAGACTGAAATCGCTAAGTAACATCCAGGGAGACCAGTATGGAGTAGCAAAGAAGGGAAGACAGTAATGGGAAATGGGGTTGGAGAGGTCAAAGGCAGTATTGCAGGCCATTGTAAACATGGCCAACTTTTGCTTCACATGAGATGCAAAACATTTGAGTAGTGAAATGACAAGATCTGGCAACTGATTTATTAAGAGGTTCATTCTGACTTTTGGATTGAGAATAGATACAAGGGAGGTCAAGGATGAAAGGAGTTAGAAGGCTATTTCAATCATCTGGGCAAATGGTAAAGGTGGCAGACCAAAGTGATATCATAGAAGATGACGAAAAGCGGTCAGATTCCAAATGTATTCAGAAGACTGTCTTTTCTCAACATAGGAGGCAGAGTCATTAGTGACCTTGTAAGAGCAGCTGGGTGGAGTGGTGAGGTGAAAAAAACTAGATTAGACTTCTCTAAAGAGAAAGAAAGAGAACATAAATTGCAAATTGAAAGTAGGAACAACTGTTTAGAGGTGGTTTAGCATAGAAGTAAGATGACAAATTGATCAGCAACTGGAAAACAGAGTTGGAAGAGGGTTTTGTGTCACTTATTTAAGATGGAGAAATCACATCACACTTGTATGCTAAAAAGAAAGTCAGTAGAGAGGAAAATTGATCATACAGTAGAGAAAGGGTAGAAGAGTTAGAGTGACGCCCTTGATGACAGAAAGTATCAAGTGCACAAGTGGGAGAACTGGCCTTTACTAGAGGGCAAAGTATCTTCTAGAGCAGGGTGGGCAAACTACAGACCGAATGCCAAATCCTGCCACTACCTGTTTTTGTACAACGTCCACTAGAGCAGGTAGGTTAGCACTCTGAGCTGCAGAGACCAAGTCTGTTTACTTCTCTGCACCCAGGGTCTGCCTCCCTGGTTTGTGGCTGTAAGTAGCATCTGCCCCAACTCTGGGCTGGTCCCCACCTACAAGCTAGAGACTCTGCTAATGGCAACTGCTTGTTATCTGGCAGTGGAATCTCAGTCTAGCAGTTGCCCCACTTCTGGTCAGCTGCCCAAATTCAGAAGGTTGGGCTCTCCAGGAACAGAAGGACACACTAGGATCTATGTGTCACTGGGGTAGAGTGAAGCTCACTATAGTTTCACTCCCCACCACAACCTGCCAGGCCCATTCCCTGGCAGACAGAATGTCTAATGGCAACTGGGTGCAAACAGGGTAAGCAGGGCAGGACAGTTTTCTCTCTTGTTCTATAATGACCTACATAATACTCTTGATTTTGTCCTTTGGCCTAGAAAACCTAAAATATTTACTATCTGGCCATTTACAGAAAAAGTTTGCCACCTTTGGTTTAGAGCACTGACAGCTGGCTTTTCTCGATGATACACACAGGATAACACGTTCCTGTTACACGAGGTCATGTAATCAGGTCATGTTGTTATTGCATCAAAGACTTTCAGTGGCTCCCCATCCCTCTGTCCCTATCATGAATAGAGTTCAAATTCCTTAGAGGAGAGACTAAGAATTCAAAACTTGAAATTCTCAAAGCCTAGATCTGGAATGGGAGGCAAGAAGCCCCATGTTAACCTCAAGTCTAAGTCATCTCCTTCAACCTAGTTTACCTAAAACTATGCATTTAGAGGGTTAACAATACTTAGTCAGGTTAAGTAAGTGGATACTTACTTCCCAATTGGTTAATGAACTCTGTGGATCAGAACCCCAAAAGTAAGGAAGGTTGAAATGTTCAACCTTCAACCATCTAACCAAACTTAAGAGAGAAAGTTATTCATTTGGAAGTATTTTCATTGCAAAACTATTTACCTTCTTGAAATCTTATTTCAAACAAATTCATAGTTCTTTTTGAGGACAGAAATACTAAGTACAATCGGCTTTCCATATTCTCAGGTTTTGCATCTGTGGATTTAATCAAATGTGGATTGAAAATATTCCTTTTAAAAAGGATGGGACGGGCATGGTACCTCATGCCTGTAATCCCAGCACTTTGGGAGGCCAATGCAGGTTGATCACCTGGGGTCAGGACTTTGAGACCAGCCTGGCCAACATGGTGAAACCCCATCTCTACTAAAAAATACAAAAATCAGCTGCGTGGTGTGGCGGGCACCTGTAATCCCAGTTACTTAGGAGGCTGAGGCAGGAGAATCACTTGAACCCGTGAGGCAGAGGTTTCAGTGAGCCAAGATCATACCACTGCACTCCAGCCTGGGCGACAGAGCAAGACTCTGTTTCAAAAAGAAAAAAAGGATGGTTGCATCTATACTGAATACGTACAGACATTTTTTCCTTGTCATTATTCCCTAAACAACAGTATAACAAACTATTTACATAGCATTTACATTATATTAGATATTATCAGTAATCTAGAAATGACTGAAAATATACAGGAGGATGTGCATAAATTAGATGCAAATACTATACCATTTTATACAAGGGACTTGAGCAGCATGGATTTGGGTATCCTTGGGGAATCCTGGAACCAATCCGTGACACTTTCTGATGCTGTGAGGTGCAACTGTATTATTTGCTGTGAATTTGCAATTATCAGTGACTAAGGTGCCCAAATGAAAAGTTTGTTTAAGCATATGGAAACGAAATTACAAATGTAAAAATACTTCTTTTTACTTTGTAAATGCATATGCTGTCATCTGATGAGTTTTTGATAAAGTGTTAAATCCAAGACTGAAAATTAATCCATGTCCCATGTAATTTACAACTTGAAAGTTACTTGAACTTGGGAAATGTCTTAACTAAGTTTATTCTTTTCTAATAATGTTTTACTTCTTCCTATATTCACATATTTTCTCTAAACAGTTTCAATTTATTGAGATTTTGATGTCACATTGCTGGAATTTATAAGTATACTATTTAGAAAACAGACATATTTTTTATTTTATAGTTACAAATGACTAAAGTAATATAGCATTCCACTTTTATATCATTTTATAGCATAAGAGTAATTTTTAAAAATATTTTCTTTTTCAGTTTAGACTATAGAACATGTCTTTAACAGAAGAAAAAGTCTGGACATAATTTGATTAATCTCATATATTGAATTTTTTTGCAAGTATGAATATTACTGTATTAGTCTGTTTTCACACTGTTCATAAAGACATATCCAAGACTGGGTAATTTATAAGGAACGAGGTTTAATTGATTCACAGTTCCACATGGCTGTGTAAGCCTCACAATCATGGCTGAAGGTGAATAAGGAGCAAAGTCATGTCTTACATGGTGGCAGGCAAAATTGCATATGCAGGGGGAACTCCCATTTATAAAACCATCAGATCTCATGAGACTTGCTCACTACCACAAGAACAGTATGGGGAACCACCCCCATGATTCAATTATCTCTACCTGGCCCTGCCCTTGATACGTGGGGATTATTACAATTCAAGGTGAGATTTGGGTGGGGACACAGCCAAACCATATCAACTACATAAATGCAGTCAATAAATGGCAATAAATCTTCTATTTGTTTAAAATGTATCAATACCACAGTAAATTACTTTAAAAAAATAAACTTATTTTAGATAATTTTAGATTTCCAAAAAAGATTCAAAGGAATTACAGAATATTCTCTCATACACTTTGGTTTCTACTAATGCTAATATCTTTTTTTTTAGACAAGGTCTTGCTCTGTTGCCTAGGCTGGAGTGCAGTGGGAGATCACAGCTCCCTGCAGCCTCAACCTCCTGGACTCAAGTGATCCTCCCACCTTATCCTCCCAAGAAGCTGGGACCACAGGTACACACCACCACGCCCAGCTAATTTTTTATTTTTTTGTAGAGACAGGGTCTCACTATGTTGCCCAGGCTGCTCTTGAACATCTAGGCTCAAGTGATCCTCCCACCTCGGCCTCCCAAAGTGCTGGGATTACAGGCATGAGTCACTGTACCCAGCCAATGTTAACATCTTATATTACCATAGACCATTTACTGAAACTACGAAACCAACATATTTGATACATTATTATTAAATGAACTCAAGACTTCATTCAGATTTCATCAGTTTTTCTCCTAATGTTCCTGTTCTATTCCAGGATGCAGTCTGGGGTACACACTGCACTTAGCTAACTTACTTTCAAAAGCAATAATTTCTTAAAATTCTACAGAATAAAAAAGAAGCACTTTCTTACCTGCTTTACGCCAAAATTTCATGTGTTTAATTCCAGCTGTAATTAATTTATCAGGCACATAGGGGTTCATCTTTACAACAAAAATCTTATCTTTACTTCCTCTGAAATAAACATCAAAATGTTTTAGCTATAAAGATTCATCATTCTTGTAGTAATCTCTTGCCTAATCCATACCCTATCTCGATTACTCTCTTTACTGAATATTTTTCTCCCACTTATCTCTCAGATGTGGACTGTGTATTTGTGTATTTGTTCTTTTGTCATCATTTTAATATGGTAATTCTGCTCAAGAGAATCTCAAAAGACAGATATGGTCAAAACTGAACTTCTTTCAGACAGTATCTACAATACCTACTACAGTACTGTGCATAGAGAATGCTATTTGTGGCACGAATGGGTTAAAGGCAATTTTAAAACAATACTTTGTTATAGCTTAAGATAGCCTTTCCAACTACAAAGTTCCTCTTAAACTATTGTTAATTTGGGCATTATCTATATATTCCATAAAAAGCATTTATCTATATATTTAAAGTGCTTTAACACTGCTTTAATAAAGAGGAGGTTAAAATCTCTGACACTGTTGACTAGTTCCTCCTTTAAAGCATTGTTAATATTACTGTAAAAAAATACATGCTCACTATAGAAAACTTAGAAAATGAAGAAAAATATAAGAAAATAAAAACCTATAACTTCTTTGCGATATATATGCATATGTATCTTTTTTCACTTTAATATATAATGTGAGCATTTGATCATGCTCTCCAACAGCTCTATCATACAGTAGAACACACTCTACCTGTACATGGAGATTTCAGATAGTTATATCCAATGCCATATTATAGTTATATTTAAAAGTGGGTTCACAAAGGATAAATCTACAAAGAAATTCTGAAATCATTTACTATGATTTTATTATTTATTCAATGATAACAAACATGGAAGCAATAAAAAGTTACATATTTGCTTGATTTCAAAATTGTTTTAATTTAAAAATTTTTAAGTCCAAAGTAATTCTAGTATTTTGCAAATGTGATATCAAGTTTTTTTCCTACCTTGCTATTGAAAGTTTCTCTCCTTTCTTCCAGTCCCACAGCACAATAGTATGGCTATCATCTATGCCAACTGACGCCAAACGTTTCCCATCCGCTGTGGAAAATTAATGAGAGAGATAAACTGACTATTAACATTCCGAAGAGAGAAAACATTCAGTATATATTCCAAACCCACATCCTATATTTAAAATTTGATAAAATAATGTTAAATGCTAGGCATGCATACAGCTATAAAAAGAACCAGAATTTATGAGGGAGGGAGAATAAAAGTTTCTCAAATCCTCTAAATGTATCTGCTCTCATTGCACCTGACCTCCTTTTCCTTATCTATCCATCAGGTTGGGATGGGAGGAGGGAGATAAGAAAAATGGAAAAAAGAGATTTAAAAAATAGAAGGAAAACTAACAAAGGGATGAAGAAAATATTTATTTTAATTAAATTCACCATAAGAAATCTACTGTAATATAAGAACTTAGAGTAAGAATGAAAAGTTAACCAAATGAAAAACATGTAAGTTACAACAACATACTACCACTAATATGACTCCTTTTAGTAAAGGTCAATCGTATCAAGCAATACATAATGAACATATTAGACAAATCATTGAGACAAATGATCAGTGAATATCCTATGGGTATGCATGTTTATAGGCTGTAAAGGCTCAGACCACAAGAAAATATTTCCCACTTTACCACACTTTGCAAGGCTCAATTAGTTCCTCATTGCTCCAGTGGTATTTTTCTTGGTGACTCACTTAGTTCGCAATTCGTTTTCTAGTTTCTGTTAGCAAATCTTTGAATATGTATATATATTTCCCTCTGAACTCTACTATGGATAATTTATCACTTCAGTCAGAGCAGCAAAAGCATTAATTCACTGTTTCTTAATATAGAATTCTCTATTAATAGTATTTCCTCCCTCTTCCCAATTCACACCCTACCTTTCACTGTAGACCTATCTGCAGTTGTCAAACTTTTAAATAAACAGAAAAGCGCTAATATGATCTGAAATTATTTTTACAAGACAGCTTAAAATTGTCACTGTATAAATATGTCTAAAATAAGTATTTCAGTTCTCAACTCTTTCTTTGCTAGCCCTTTACCCTAAACATTTTCAAAGTTTACTCTAGCTATAAAACAGTGAGATCAGTGCTTGCCCAATGTGAGAGATACAAACTACTTGTGGTAACTGAGATGAATTTAGGTTGTTACGTAGATAAACATTTTTATGTTACTAGAAACATGCAAATTTTAATAGGTATTAAAACTATACTCATTAAGTTATAATTATAAACTAGCTAGCAAATCCACACTTTCATAGTGTTTGATAAGGACAACAGTATACACATTTGATAAAAACTGTGAATGTCACAGCTAAAGGACAAGCTTAGGTAACAATAAGTTATATTAAAACGCTATGTGTTGCCTCTGCATTTTGTTCATTCTTACTGAGATAGCAAACAGCCTTACCTGAGAAATCAACAGCACTAATACCACATTGGTGGTGGCCCTTTAATATGGACAATGGTTTAATGGTCTCTGTATCCCATATATGTATTGAGGGATCTCTACCAACCTAAAATAGAAAGAATTATAGACATTATTATATACAATTAATATCCACATCTATTAAAAGGAAATAAAATGAGAGATTTTTACAGCTTGACTTATTTACCACAGAAATTTATTAAATAAAAATTTAAAGCAGACTATACATGTTACTGATATTTTTTTCTTACACTTGTTCAAAAGCTAATGAAGCTAAGTTCAGTGTTTCTAGGAATGATGTAACTAGAACTATGTGACTTTTATCATCTGTTTCATCAATAAAGATAATAAATGCTTACTAAACATCTATTGTTTCTATGCTAAATACAATGAGCAATAAGACATTCAGGTAACTTTTGCAAACTCCTGGGAAAACAGGACATTATCAATTAAAGATAAACACCTCTTAATAGATGCTTAATGAACATGAAAAGGCTGTGGAGAAAGAGTCCATGGAAGAGAAGGTACTGGAGGTGGGCCTTCAGAAAGTACAGAACTTGAATATAAAGAATTCTAGACTAAAATAATGGGGTAAACAAATATTCAGAGGGGGTTAAAGTACCAAGCATGTCAGCAGACCTGAAAAGGTAATTTTACTGCAGCACTCTGTCACTTATTTTTTAACTTGGTTTATGATGTTCACTAATGCACAGGTAAACTATCAATTCTTAATTATTCCTCTAGACTCAAGTAGTCACTTTCTTTAACCATAAGTATAAAGAGATATCTTTGTATATAGAGACAACTACTGAAATAATTAATAGAACTATCAATTATAGTTAATTTAGAGATTGATTTTATTCATTTATTTATTTTTATTTTTCTGAGACGGAATTTCACTCTTGTTGCCCAGGATGGAGTGCAATGGCGCGATCTCGGCTCACCGCAACCTCCACCTCCTGTGTTCAGGCAATTCTCTTATCTCAGCCTCCCGAGTAGCTGGGATTACAGGCATGCGCCACCACACCGGCTAATTTTTTGTATTTTTAGTAGAGACAGGGTTTCTCTATGTTGGTCAGGCTGGTCTCGAACTCCCAACCTCAGGTGATCTGCCCGCCTCGGCCTCCCAAAGTGCTCGGATTACAGGTGTGAACTACCGGCACCCGGCCGAGATTGATTTTATAAAAAGATACAACAAATAACACTGCAATCAGCCAATATTTCACTAAGTTATTCAGCCAAACATTACCAGTAACTTTTTAGAAAACTTTTAACATGTTTTATGGGTACATAGTAGTAAAAGTAACTTTTAAGTTTTCTTTTTATATAAAAACTTCTACAGAATTTGATGCTTTTGATGGTTTTACTGTACTACTCTCTTCTGGTTCTCTGGTTTCCTTGATCCCCACCCCCACCCTTATTTTTTATTTATTTATTTTTTTTGAGACAGCGTTTCACTCCTGTTGCCCTGCTGGAGTGAAATGGCATGATGTTGGCTCACTGCAACCTCTGCCTCCCAGGCTCAAGTGATCCTCCTGTCTCAACCTCCCAAGTAGCAGGGACTACAGGCATGTGCCACCATGCCCGGCTAATTTTTGTATTTTTTGTAAAGATGGGGTTTCACTATGTGCCCAGGCTGGCCTTGAACTCCTGGGCTCAAGGGATCTGCCGCCTCGATTTTCGAAATTGCTAGGATTAGAGGCCGTGAGTCACAGCGCCCAGCTTCCTTGACTCCCACTAGTGAGTTTCCTTCTCAATTTCCTCACCTGTTACTTAAATACAAACCTCTCCCAAGGTGGTCTTTAATTCTCCAGTCTTCTCATTCTTCATTTTTGCCCTGAGATATCTCATTTCTATAGTTTCAGTGGTTAAACAATAAATATCTCCCCAAGTCCTTCTCTCGAACAGTTACTTTTCCTCTGAATTCAAGACTTACATTTTCAATTGTCTAGTGGACATCTCACCTGGAAATTATGATGATGACTAACATTCACTGAGAAGTGATTTATGTGCCAGAAACTGTTCTATAAGCACCTTACAAAGACTGACTCATGTACCAATCACAACAACTCTACGAGATAGGAACAGATAATATCCTTATTTTAAAGGATGAAGAAACAAAGGCAAAGAGGGGTTAGGTAATTTGCCAGTAGCTAATAGGTGGAAAAGCTTGGATTTCAATATCATATTCCATGAGGTATAGACGGTATTTAGTATAATATTGAGTATTATTAAAGTACACTTAGTGCACCTCACTCAGGGATGAAGGGGAGAATGGAGAGGTTGGGAGAGTTCTCAGATAGGCTTAGCCTAAGTCTTAAAAGGAGCAGAAATTAAAGTTGGAAGGTTGAATACAAGTGAAGAGGAAGAGTTTTCTAAGATGAAGGAACTAAGTAAAAGATGTGAAATAGCATTATACGTGTTGGACAAATTCTAAGGCAAGAAAATAGTTTACAAAGAGGCAAATGGTAAGAGATAAAAAGGGGAGTTGGAGAGTCAGATTTGGTTAAAAGCCTTTAATTGCATTGGGAGTCAACTTCCAATTCTGCATTGATGTTATGCCTTGAATTGCATTTAACCAAGTCTGACTCTCCAACCTCCCCTTTTCATCCCTTACCATTTAGAGCTTGTGGCTATTTAGACAGCTGTTTAGACAGCCTACAAGCTATTAATACTAATAAACATGGAAGAATTTTAAGACTTTTAGAAAGATTACTAGTGAACGGGGAAAATGGATAGAGGAAAAAACTTAAGCAGGAGACCAATGGCTATAGTAATGTTTCAGAAATTGTGAAGCACTGATTGTCAGTAGAGGTATGGAAAAATTAGAGATAAAAAGAATATTGAAGATAAAGAATAAATACCTATTCAGGTGAAAGAATGGGTGCAACTTGAGGACTGACTAGCTTTAGGGGTGAAGAACAAGATTAACTTCCAGGCTTAGGCAACCAAGTTAAAAAGTACTATGTTCTAAGAAGGAAACAGAAACGGATGAACAGGTTTGGAAGGGAAGACTAATGCTATTTATCTCTGTTTTAGACATACTGAACCTGAGTTGCCCACAGGACATCTAAATCAGTGTATTTTTAGTGAATTATATATATACACACACACACATATACACACATACACATATACACACAGAGTAATTTGTCCAATTCTTGTACTACATTCTGAGCTCCCGATAGTGGCAGCCAGTCCAAGTTATCTTTGTGTTTCCCCTACAACATTTAATGCTTTTTTTTTTTTTTTTTGAGACAGAGTCTCGCTCTGTCGCCCGGGCTGGAGTGCAGTGGCCGGATCTCGGCTCACTGCAAGCTCCGCCTCCTGGGTTTACGCCATTCTCCTGCCTCAGCCTCCCGAGTAGCTGGGACTACAGGCGCCTGCCACCTCGCCCGGCTAGTTTTTTGTATTTTTTAGTAGAGACAGGGTTTCACCATGTTAGCCAGGATGGTCTCGATCTCCTGACCTCGTGATCCGCCCGTCATTTAATGCTTTTGAATAGGAAGCACTCAACAAGTATTTGCTGAATTAAACAAAAGTTCTAAATGATAGTACAATTAGTCACGTTACTCGACTTTCCAGGTAAGTTTCTTTCACATTCTTTCATTTCCACTTAAGATTACAGTTCCTAACAAGGGGTTATTCTTTGTATTTAATTCTCCAAAAGGCAAAAACTCTCTAGATTTTTCATCTAAATTGCTTTTTTAAAAATTGTTTTATTTGGGAAAAGTGCTTCTTACAAAAGGGAAGCCACAAAATACAGAGACCTCTGCAACAATTATTATTTTTTTTTTCTTAAAGTGAAAGAATGGGTGAGAGCCAAGGAATCAAAGCAGTAGATGGACAAACCTAGAGCATCCCCGAGTTATTTTCAGGAAACAGAGCATCAAAACACAAAGGTAAAATTTCCAATCAAGGAATTCTTCCAACAACTTAACTTTATCTAGTCTCGATTCCCAAACCCTCCCCTTCGGTGGAAAAGTATGACTTATTACTGCAAACCCATTACTCCACTACAATAAACACTTTAGAACAGAGTTTTTAATCACACCTGTCTACCTGAAAACTCAGAAGTGGAATGAAGCAAATACCCACAAAAACAAACACAAAAACCTGACAAGAAAATGCCCCAAATGAGGACAAAGGTTTCTCAGAAAGTGCCTGCACTGGAAAGGCTAGATCGTAAAACATTAAATACAACTGTGCATCCAAGACCCAGTTTGTGTTAATATATGGGATAACCAGGTAGTTTTAACCTCCACCTACCCTCCTGATTAGTTCCTCCACTAATGTCCATAATGTATTCTAAGATTTGAACACTGTGGGTTATGTATAGTTCTTTAAATAATCTGGGCTTTTTTTTTTTTTTTTTTTTGGCTCTACTTTTACCTTTTACACATGCTATAATACACTTAGAATGCTTTTTCCCAACTTCCCCTCTGCCAAGTAAACAACTCAGCTCAAATGTCATCATCTCTACGAGGGTTTCTTCGATTCTACTGGACACAATTAATCATTAGTTCTTCATTACATTGCTACAAGACATTGTACATATTTCTACATTTAAAAACAGGGTGATTTTGCCTTCCAAGGGACATCTGGGCACTGTCAGGAGATATTTTGGGTTGCCACAACTCAGAGAAGTGGGTGTTACTGACACTAACGGGTTGAGACCAGGGATGCTGCTAAATATCCTACAATGCATAGGTCAGCCTCCCACAACAAATAATTACCTGCCCCAAAACATCAATAGTGCTAAGGTATTGTTATAAATATAGATGAGACAAGCTTCTCTGATCTATACTTAGGACACTGTATTACAACTCAGAATATGAGTTTCCACCATGGCAAGAAGTTGTCTTATTTATCTTTATATTTCTAGCACATTTCTTGCTACACAGAATGTGCTTAATGTTTCTGAGTGAATGAAAGAAAGGAATAAGGAAAGGGAAAGGAAGGAGAGAAAGAGCAAGTAAAGAGAGGCACAAAGAAAGGAAGAAGAATGGCAGAAAGAAAAAAGGGAGGAGTTTTCTCTCCTTTCAAGAAAGCTATATAGGAGGATGCAAGTTGACCCCTTTTACACATATCCTAGCTAAAAGGTATATTTACACAGTGTTTAAAGCCAGACAAACTGAAGGCTTTAGGCTTTACTACCTATTAGCTGATTGATGTTAAGCAAATTATTTAATTTCTCCAAACCTAAACCTCATCATTTGTAGACTGAAGGAAATAATTTTACTCTCACAAGGTTGAGGTGAGAATAAATATACATCAATAAACTAGTAAAATACTTACATAGAGTAAGAATCTATAAACTTCATTTCTTCCCTTCCTGCTCTAAGAAATCCATATAGAGAGGTATCAGTTAAGATTTTCCCAGGGTTTTTTATTTCAATATTTGTGCTTTCTACTTTGGTAAACCTGAATAGATTACTATCCTGGTTGTAAAATAAACAGACATCGTCCTTTGGTTTGTCACAGGACATTTGTTAAATTATTTACTGTTTTAGGTAACTCAACCTAAAAAAAACCAGATTTCTAGTCTTTATTTTTTCTTTAATTTTACTCACTAATTTAAAAACTTAATATCATGACAGAAAAAAGAAGCCAGAGCTATGAGTTCCAAATTTAAATTAAAATAATTCGAATTAAAACAATAAAAACTTTAAGTAAAACTGTAGGAAAAAAGTTTGGGGTAAATTTTATTTATAATCTGAAAATAAAACCCATTCTAAAGAATTCTTTACTCTTCATTTCCTGGAACACAAAAGAGATATATGATTAATTTATTTAAACTCAAACAAAGGTGTAGCTTATCTGGTTCACTGTCAGTCTTTCAAACCTACCTGGCCTGTTGCCACGTAGTCTTTCAAAGGATGAATAGTTAGGCAGAGAATATCATCATCATGACCCAGATAAAAACGCTGTGTGTTCTGCTGTCGATTATAAATGACACCCACTGCTGCCACATGGTACACAATTTCACCAATTTGAGTATAAAACAGATTACTTCGACAGTCATAACCTCTGTAACTAATACAGAAAACAAATCATATGTAATTAATTTTGGTCTTTTATCTGATCAATACAGACTATACAGGGGAGAAGTAGGTACCCTTTGAGTGAATCATTCAATTTCCAGTTTTACAGGATACGAAACAATTTTCTTTTTTAAAGAGATGGGGTCTTGCTCTGTCACTCAGGCTGAAGTGCAATGGTGTGATCACAGTTCCCTGCAACCTTGACCACCCAGGCTCAAACGATCCTCCCACCTCAGCCCTCCAAGTAGCTGGGACTACTGCTGCGTGCCACTGTGCCTGGCTAATTTTTGTACTTTTTGTAGAGATGGGGTTTTCCCATGTTGCCCAGGCTGGTCTCGAACTCCTCAGCTCCACCCACCTTGGCCTCCCAAAGTGCTGGGATTACAGGTGTAAGCCACCATGCCCAGCCTGAACAATTAAAAAATACCACCATCTCTGATCCAATAAACTTTTATGAACTGCTCAGACTGCAAATAGCTAAATCTAAGGTATAATATTGAGTGAAAAAAACAAGGTAGAGAATAGTATGTATAGTATACTACTATTTACGTAAGTATAATATTAAAATTGTATACTATAAAATAAAACAATTGCTTTTTACAAGTAAAAGGTATAGAAAAGAATATATATTCGTAATTGTTGTATAAGTATTTCTGAAACTAAGTAATAGTGACTATCTGCAGAGAGGGGAAATGATGGCTGGGAGGGCAGAGGTGGGAGAAAGATTTTCAAACTGTACCCTTTTATACACCTTAATATAACATATATTCCAAAAATAAGTTTAAACAACAATTTTAAAATATTATATTCATCCAGGACAAAGTAGCCAAATCTTAAATGGTCAAAATAAGTCCATTTATAGCAACCTTGCTTTGCACTTCAAAGAAACCCAATTCATAAAATACAACTGCATAAAAACTACTGACCATTTTAACACTGGAGAAAAAATACTTTTACTGAATAAATCCTTTTTAAAATTCTTGATAAGTATTATCAGTCAGGTAAGAAAATGAATGCTGGGTGAAAGGTAGAAAAGAGTCAGATTGGAAAATCTATTTCTGCCAAGATGAAATGTGAGACCTGTCTTGACGGATGTTCTAAGAGAATTCAGAACCTATATTTTGGTGAAATTAAAATATTTAGGCAAAAATGCTCATGCAAGAAGAAGTTACAATATCATTCCAAATTAGACATATTAAGGGGAGATGATTATCTCTTACATTTTACTTAATTGTTTAAAGAGGTCCATTTCCATAAATATGAATCTTTCATAAGATTTATTTTTTTATTTAATAAACACTTACATAGTGCTTATTATGTGCCATATAATGTTGTAAATCACTACTGGCATTGCCTTATTCACTCCTCATCAGAACCTTGTAAGGTAGGTACTTGATACGATTCAGATATTTGTCCTGTCCAATTCTCTTGTTGAAATGTGATCCCCAGTGTGGGATACTGGGAAGTGTCCTGGTGGGAAGTATTTGGGTCATGGGGGCAGATCCCTCATGAATGGCTTTATGCCATCCCCTTGGTGATGAGTGAGTTATCTCCTGATTTGTTCAAACAAGATCTGATTAAAGAGTCCAGCAACCCCCTTCCCTTTCGATCCCTTTTTTCTTGCTCTCTCTCTCACTACGTAACACACCTGCTCCCCCTTTGCCTTCTACCACGAGTAAAAGCTTCTTGAGGCTTCACCAGAAACTGAGCAGAGGCTGCTGCCCTGCTTGTACAGCCTGCAGAACACTGAGCCAAATAAACCTCTTTTCTTTATAAATTATCCAGCTTCAGGTATTCCTTTATAGCAATGTGAAATGGACTAACACAGTACTACTATTATCTCCATTTCACAGACACAAAAAAAGAAGCAGCGAGGTTAAGTGACTTGTTTAAAGTTACAAAGCACAGACATGCCCAGTTGTCCCAACAGTGTCCTTTATAATCATTTTTAAAATCCAGATATTTTAAAAAATATCTTTCAATTTGGTTTTGTCTAATGTCTCCTTATGATTAGATTCAGGTGATGTGTTTTCCCCATGGGCAATGTTGTATACTTTCGGATATGTCATTCATTTCAGGGGACACAGTCAGTTCTATCATTAGAGATGTTAAGCTAGTAAGTGTGAACCAAAATTCAAACATATAAATGAAAGATAGTTGTTTTATACCCATGAACAAAGTGTAATCGAATACTATTTCCTGGAGCCCGCTCTCGTCTTTTAGAAGTAGCACTTTTTTGTTTCTCTTTGCATTGTTCTTTAAGCTGAGGTAGATCTTCTTTGTAAACCTTTAAAAAATGTACATAAGTAGAAATATTCTTAGAATATATATTAATAAAGGTTTTCATATACTCTCAATATAACTTTCAGACATTGTCAGAAAACAACCTTTAATAATAGTCTTAAATGAAAAAGTAATTCATGAAATTTACTCCCTCGGAAAGAACAAACAAATTCACATTTTCTACATATCACACTGACAAACAGATATTTAGTGTTCCAGGAAATTTTTATACTTCACAAAAGAATACTGTTAAGGGAATAAATGTGAGTATACTATGACAAAATCCTATAGGCAAATAGAAGGCAAGCATACTTAATATACCAACCATTTAATATAAAAAAATTTTACACAAGAGTACTCTAACACTGACAGTCGGAAAACTAATATAATCATACATTGCTTGGGAAATTAAAGACACAAAAGATAACAACAGATGACTAACGGGGAGCAAGATAAAGAAGAAATTGGACTTTTCAGAGAAAAACTGTGTGATATAGAAAATTACCTGTCGACGGTAGGTGAGCTGTGTCTCTTGTTCAATTTCAGAATCCAGCTCTGGAACATCAGACAGATCTGAATCTGATTCATCACTGTGAGAGTCAGCCAGACTTTCTGTAATTTTTAAAAATGAAATGTTACTTGTTTAAAGAAGATTCATTTTCAAAACAGCACTGGAAAATTAATGATTAAGAGCTACGTCAGTTGACATGGAGACAAGCCATAAAACAATCAAATGAAATTACCTATTCAAGTGACACAGATGTCAGTAAACTGTACTACAGATTATCTTCCTCTCCACTCACTGCAAACTCAATAGCTCCTTTAAATCCCTTCACTGGCTCCCCAATGACCGCTACATCAAATTTAAATGTCTGTGCAAATATAAGTGAATATAACCTATAATTAACATGAAAAATAGCTAAAAATACTATATGCAACAGATGAATTGACATTAGATAATTTTGGTCAATAAAAGCATTTACAAAATCTAGATACCCATCTCCCAGAGGATATATTCAATGTTTGTTTTGCTATTAATATAATTGTTTCTTCACTCATTATTTGATAGATTAAAATGCAATCAAAATTACTTTATATTCCACACTCTATGACATCTAACTTTAAACATACAGAACTAATATTTTAACCTGAAATTTCTACTAATAACAAACTATACTGTTAGCTTATGAGGCTAGATTATACTTTAACATAAAATTGTTATTTGGGGGTTACTGAAGAATTATTTGACAGGGAAATTGCTTAGGTAATGTATACTACTCACCTTGGGGTGCTATGTGAAGAGCATCTTTCAGTTTTCTTTCAGGAATAAATTTCCACTGAAAGACAGAGTGATCTGCTCCACCAATAGAAATAACCCACTGATAATCATGTGACCATCTGACATTAGTTACGTGAGCTGAATGGCCAATATATTTTCTAAACTTGGCTCCTATAATAAAAATATATCTTTAAATTGATAAACAAATGCTAAACAAAATATCATTTCAAACAATTTTTATACATGAACCACTGTATCATCCTTCTATTAACTGAATTATGAACAAATGGGAAATAAGCTGACTCAAAAATTGAACAAATGAATGAATCTGTATCAAGGAATGTAAATATCTCCTCTGCTGATTCACAAGAAACCACAAAGGCTGTGAGGCATTATCTTACCACTTTGAGAAAAACCTGGGAATCAACTGTTTTTATACTGAAACATTTGAATGTTTTGGCCTGAGGCCTTTGGGCTTAAGTGAAATTCAAAGAACTAATCAACTCGACCTTACCCCCATTGTTCTCAACCGAAGCAGCCAGAGGATCCTTTTAAGACTTAAGTCGTCAACAAAATAGTAGCAAACTGAATTCAGCAACATATAACAAGGATTAAACAACATAATCAGATGAGATTTATGCCAGGAATGCAAGTTTGGTTCAACATTAAAAAGCCAATCAATGTAATACATCATATTAATCAAAGTCAAATATGCCCAGTTGTTCCAACAATGTCCTTTAAAATCATTTTTAAAATCCAGATATTTTAAAAAATATCTTTCAATTTGGGTTTTGTCTAACGCCTCCTCATGATTAGATTCAGGTGATGTGTTTTGGGTATGGGCAATGTTACATCCTTTTGGATATGTCATTTCAGGGGATACGGTCAGTTCTATCATTAGAGATGTTAAGCTGTATCATTTGGCTAAGGTGGTATACACCCAATTTCTCCAATAACAAAGGAATCATTTAACTTTGTGGTTCATTTTCTTAAAAATCTCTGTGGCAACAGGGATATATTTTATTTATTTATTTATTTATTTATGGCAGAGACAAGGTTTTGCTATGTTGCCCAGGCTGGTCTCCAGTTCCTGGGCTCAAGCAATCCTCCCACCTTAGCCTCCCAAAGTGTTGGGATTACAAGCATGAGCCACTATATCTTACAGGAATATATTTTTAGAATATATTCTCTATCTCCTCCTCCTGGTATGTGGCATTATATACATATTGTTGTTAAAGTACACAGGATACAATGATGCTTAGCTTCATTTTGATATTGTTTTGAACATTTTATATTAAGTTATAGAAGACTTGTACATCAGGATGCCAAAGCCCCATCAACAAAATTCTGGAGAAAAACTTTCATCTTGGTCATTAAGATAACTATCATAATTAACACATAAAATAGAATCAAAACTCATCTAAAGTTATAATTTATTGCTGCTTAATAGTAATACTGTTATTTTAGGAATAAATTTTTTATGTAGTTTAAAATAAGTCACTAATTTAACTTCCCATATTTCAACCCAGCAAATCCTATAAGGTAAGGGCTCTTATATAGGAATGCATTACTTGCCTATCGAGAGAGCTTTGACTACTACTACTACTTTTGATGCAACCTCAAGCACTCTTAGACATCAGAGAGTCTTAAAAGGTAAAGCCAGAAATTCGAACAAATAAAATTCCAAGTTCTAAGATCTACTAATTTGTTATGTCAGGGCAAATTAAAGAGTTAAAGCATCTACTCTGACTACACTGAGTGATAGAGAGAGGTACAAATAATCCTGTAAGTCCCTTCCCAACTTTAAGACCCTCTTGGATAAACCAAGGCAACTAAACAAGAAAGTTGTAAAATAAGTCTAAGGGAAATCGGTTATTTTTAGTCAATGGGACTGTATTAATAATTTTAAATAACCAGTTTAATTTTTAATAATTTGTTCCGATAAATGGGTATCTTAAAAGTGAACCTAGATATCATATCTTTCATGAAGTGACCTTGACTCACCAAGACCAAGTTACATGCTTCCAGAATTCTCTGTGATTACTCTTTGTGATTATACTTATATAACACTGAAATGTAACAGACTATTTACTTGTTCACTCCTCCATTAAAACTATAAGGTCTTTGAAGAGAATGGTGGTGTCTTGTTTAATGTATATCCCTGGTGCCTGGTATATAGCAAACACTCATTAGATATTCGAAGAAAGAGAAAAAGAACGGAAAAGGAAAGATTACATTTCCTTTTGCTCTGCTTGGACATTTGAGTTGGAATGCTAGATTGTAACGAAGGAAATAGTAGTGAAGGAAACTGAGGGCATGAACATGATTCCAACTCCTATAATGCACAGAAGAGGGCAAAAGTTTGATGTAGCTTAAAGAATATCAGAATTGAAATCAAAAGACTAGTGCTTGAGCATCAGTTTGACCATTTAATAGCACAGAAGTGTGAGCATTCCACCAAACCTCTTTTGGACTCCATTTCCTCATTTTAAAACGTAAATTGGATTATATGCTCACAAGGTGCCTTTTGATTATGAAAACTATGATAAAAATGATTCAATAATAAGAATAGTTAAGGCCTAAACAGTATATCATCAATTAGGACGAATATCTCAGAGAAAAAACTTATCAAGACAAGCTATAATGATCATAGAAGCTTCCTAATTTAAAAGAAGATGAAAATTCTTGGTAAGGATAAAGAAATATACTAAAATATTTGTGTTTCAATTACTCCATTTCTTTCCTAATGTGTTTTAATGTGCATTTTCACACAAGGGTAATACGAACTAAATATTTTCAATATATTGTAGCAATATGACAAAAGACTTTTTCCATTTAACTATGTTTTAATGATATTAAACTTCTAGATATGGGAATATATAAATATATGAAAATATCTTTCTGACCCTAGTAAAAGCAACAATTTCCTAATACACAAAACTATACTACCTATAAGAAAAGAAAGAGAAATAGACTTAACTACACTGAAATTAAGAACTGGCCAAGAAAATACATCAAGAAAACAAAAAGGCAAGTCACAAACTGGGAAAAGATAATTGCAAACTATAAAAATTACAAAGCATTTGTATTATAAGAGTATATAAAGTAATTCTTACAGATCAATAAAAGAAATAAGCCAATAGAAACACAGGAAAGAGATATGAACCCATGTTTCACAGAGAAGAAAACACAGAAGACCAAAACATATTTTAAAAGATGGTTAACCTCATTTGTAGTCAGACACATGGAAATTAAGACCTCAATGTGACATCATTTACACTAACTGGATTTGCAAAAGTTAGAAAGTATAGCAATATCAAGTGCTGAATCAATAGGCTTTGTAAAATTGTATAACCACTTTGGAAAATAATTTGGTATTTTCTTATAACGTTCACATTCTCCATGACCCAGAAATTTCACTCCTAGTTATTTCACTACTTTAAGAAACCTGCATTTAATATCAAAAGATGGGAAATGACCCAAATGTCCAATGACAGGCGAATAAATGCATAAATTGCAGCATAAACTTACAACACAATATTTTGCAGCAGTGAAAAAAAGGCATTAAAGCTACATGCAACAAATGGAAAACAGCACTGAATAAGTCCCTGTTATAAAGTTGTTGTTGTTGTTGTTGTAAGATATTTGGTTTTTCCTATGAATTTCCTGGAATCTAAATGATATTTTCTCCAAATATAAATTTTCATTTGCCAATAAGAAGTACAGAGAGGGTCTTGGTCATTATTAACAGTGATGGAGGTGATGGGCTAATGTAACCCTGCCCTCACCTTTCCATTCTCCCTGACCTGCTCACCATCCACCACAGCCCCTATGCTGCTGCCTAGAAAGAGTCCTCGATTCTTTCAGAGAGATTATGGTCAGGAGCAGGTGAAACTAGAGAAAAAGAGGATGATAATGAAGAAAAAAATACGAAGGGGGTGGAATGCTTTGGGCTGAAATTAGAGTGCAGAAAATGTAGGGTATATGTGGTTCATACGATCATTCTCTCTTTGCGCTAACTTCATATATTTTTTGTTTCAATTACAATGATTCTATAACATAAACTAATTCTATTATTTAAAATCCACATTTTGTAAATGCTGCACTTCTAAGAAGTCACCTAATGAATATGACCTGAGTGGATATGTAAAATACATTAATACATCAGCTACATTTTTCTAACCTTAACTTGGACTAGCAATGCAACTTAATAATTACTCTAAAAGAAAGAGAATATTTCTAGTAATACTGCTAACTTCAAGGTATGTAATTATGTGAATTCAATACATACATAATCTTTTTTGGCCCAAGTGGTCTGCAAAACATGAAATCTTAAAATACTTATATTAATCCATTAAAAATGCAGTAGTCGTATTCTGTCTTTCCCACTTACCTAGCTACAATCTCAAGCTGATTCACAAGTGCCTAGAAATAAAAATCACCCTTACTAGAAAATAAATTACCAACAAAAAATCTAACAAAAGGGAAACAAAAAAAAGGAGCAATTTATACTTATGTCCTTGAAGGAGTGAATAATCTCTCAAAACAAGACTAATATTCTTAGGCTTTGGTAAAATATTCGCACAGCAGTTCAAAGAACTACTACACATTTTATAAATGAAATAAAATTACTGTGCAATAATACCAAATTCTCTCTTGCAAATGATAAAAACAATCAATAAATCCTATTCACTTGACTAAGAAAACTCAGAAGATTAAAGTATTTTTGTTTTTGCATAGAGGGCAGTACGTGAAACAATTAAGTAGGAGCAACGTCTAAGAGTAAGATCATCATGACTCTTACTGAATCTCACACTTTATAACCAAGCAAGTACCATCTTAAAATTTGTTGTGCCTGGTGACTCTCATGTCCTGGCTATGTGGTGGGACTCAGAAAGAGGGTACTTTAACTGTTAGAGATTTAACCAGCCTTTTGATATGGTTTGGCTCTGTGTCCCACCCAAATCTCATCTCAAATTGTAATCCCCATGTGTTGAAGGAGGAACCTGGTACGAGGTGACTGAATCATGGCGGCAGTTCCCCCATGCTGTTCTCGTGACAGTGAGTGAGTTCTCATGAGATCTGATGGTTTAAAAGTGTTCAGCAGTTCCCCCATTGTTCCTGCTCTCTCTCCTACTGCCATGTAAGACGTGCCTTGCTTCCCCTTCACCTTCTGCCATGACTGTAAGTTTCCTGAGGCCTCCCAAGCCATGAGGAACTGTGAGTCAATTAAACCTCATTTTTAAAAAAATAAATTACCCAGTCTCAGGAAGTTCTTTATAGCAGTGTGAAAACAGACTAACACACCTTTGTTAACATACTTAGTGAAATATCTTCACATGCACCTAGGAAGCTGACATCTCACAGGCAGGAATCAACAACATGGCAAGCTGGCAAGATCTTAAACTCATCACTTTACCTTAGAGGCACAACGGAAACACCAGCCTGGGCTTCTGGAAAAATTAAGCCCTTAAGTTTGACATCAGTTGATTATATATTTGAATCGAACTACTTTAGCTGTTTCCAAAAATCACCTTTACTAAGCCACATTTTTAATGTTTGCCCAACGACTTGTATCAACAAGCCAGGTGAAAAATCACTACTGCATCTGCTACAGGCGCTGATGCTCTAGGAATACACATTCACTACATCTAATATAAAGTCCCATACCACAGGAAAGTTCCTCAAAAATTTTCCAAAGAAACTTTGATTTGCTAGAGAAGTAAGTATGCTTTTTTTAAAAATGTAGAATGAAAACTATTTGTGCCCTGCTTTATTTTTGGTTTCCACGAAGCTCAGAATTAAATTTGATGTTTGACTACTGTCATTTTCTTTATCTAGTTTGAATATGGTACTTCTATTTGTATTTCCCTTGATACTGATTCTCTATTTGTATAGTTACTTTAGTACTTATGGACTTGTTATGAGCTGACTCAAATACTTTATGAAATAGGCATGGAATAAATAAATGATACCTAATAGAGCATTTTATTTATTTATCCCAGGTCTATGAACAGAATGATTTGTATCATTTTAGAAGAGATCCAAGAAAAAGAGGTGATAATATAAAACATGTAGAAAATAACCAAATGATAAGACCCTATATTAGTCCATTTTCAAACTGCTATAAAGAGCTGCCCAAGACTGAGTAATTTATAAAGGAAAGAGATTTAATTGACTTGCAGCTCAGCATGACTGGGGAGGCCTCAGGAAACTTACAACAATCATAGTAGAAGGCAAAGCGGAAGCAAGGCAACTTCTTCACGGGGTGGCATGAAGGAGAAGTGCGTGAGATCACAGGAAAAACTACCATTTATAAAACCATCAGATCTCATGAGAATTCATTCACTATCACAACAGCAGCATAGGGGAAACTGTTCCCATAAACCAATCACTTCCCACCAGGTTCCTCCCTTAACACCCGGAAATTACAATTCAAAATGAGATTTGGCTGGGGACACAAAGCTAAACCACATCAGACCCTGCTCACGCCTGTAATCCTAGTATCTTGGGAGGCTGACGCAGGGAGATCGCCTGAGGTGAGGACTTTAAGACACAGCCTGGCCAACATGGTGAAACCCTGTCTCTACTTAAAATACAAAAATTAGCTGGGTGTGGTGGTGCATGCCCGTCATCCCAGTTACCTGGGAGGCTGAGGCAGGAGGGTTGATGGAACACAGGAGGTGGAGGCTGAAATGAGCAGAGATCGCCACTGCACTCCAGCCTGGGTAACAGACAGAGCGAGACCCTGTCTCAAAAAAAAAAAAATTATATATATATATGTGTGTGTGTGTGTGTGTGTGTATATATACATATATATATATACACACACACACACACAAAACCATCATTGTATAGTCTGACTCTATGAAGGAATTCAGGAAGTGAAAAGAAAAATGTTTCTTTGAAAAGAAAGAGATATTCATAACAACATATGAATTCATAAAGAATATATGCATTCATAAAGAACATATGCATTCATAACATATGAATTCAAAAAGAATTTTCTAATAAAACTTCATGACCAAAATAAATGTAGCATATGACAATAATTTTTGAATTAGCAAAATGAAACCCTTTACCAATCTGTGTAAATTTCAAAAATATGAAATCCTTTATCTCAAGACTAATTTTCTGCAAGAATATAAAAGTCTTCTGTGAGAGACAGGTTACTTAACAATATTTTGAAAGAAAAGGTACCTTTTCTTAAACATGGATATCGGAATAATTTTATAATTCCATAGTCATCAGCTGTAACTAAAACTTGGCCAATATAATTTCCATCTACTGAATTTATATCGTTGATATCTGAATACTTGGGCCAAATTCCATTTACTTCAAGGCCTGAAACACATGTCCATGAAGCCCAATGAACACCTTTTATTTCTTCTGTACTTGTCACTTCTTTTCCCCCTAAAAATAAATCAAAGAGTCTTAATTTAAGAAGTTATTTCATTTGATTTTCTCAAGCCTAAACTGTACTGAGAACATAGTAAATTCCAAAATTTAATGAATCGTCTCACCTCACTTAGAAGAAAATACATAAATAGGTAGGTAAGTTTGGGTTAAGAGAAAAGAAAACTAAATGCAAGAAATTTATAAAAAGCTACTACAAAAATTATACTGATTCAGAGACAGACATTGCCTTGAATGTTTAGCTTAGCAGGTTCCCTTATGTGGAGAAGAAAACTGAATCCTATTTAAAAAATGATACAGATTAGTCATAACAGGGTAAGTTATAAAAAAAAAAAAGGTAAAAGCTATGAGAAAGTGGCAAATCAGGTAATAAAAAAGAAGCCTAAGATACATAGTTGAGAAAAAAAAGAGAGATCTAGAAAAGACCAAGAAGAAAGGATGAGTGTAGGATAATATATTTACATTAGGTAGACTGTTAATGAAAAACTTTTAGGGAGATGCATTCATTGAATTATGCAGCTTATTTTACGTAACAGGTTCTTGTTACATCACAACAAATAAAGTACTATGCAGTGGCCGGGTGCAGTGGCTCACACCTGTAATCCCAGCACTTTGGGAGGCCGAGACAGGCAGATCACTGAAGGTCAGGAGTTCAAGACCAGCCTGGCCAATACGGTGAAACCTCATCTCTACTAAAAATACAAAAACTAGCTGGGCATGGTGGCGGGCACCTGTAATATCAGCTACTCAGGTGGCTGAGGCAGGAGAATCACTTGAACCTTGGAGGCAGACGCTGTAGTGAGCTGAGAACATGCCACTACACGCCAACCTGGGCAACAGAGCGAAACTCTGTCTCAAAAAAAAAAAAAAATTACTAAGAGGTAATATTTCGATGATTCTGCTTTTATCCCATTCATTCACGCACTCACTCACTTGCTAATTTATTTACTTATTTGTTTAGTTAGAGCCATGGTCTTGCTCTTTCACCCAGGCTGGAGTTCACTGGCATGATCTTGGCTCCCTGCAGCCTTGAACTCCCAGCTGAAATGATCCTCCCACTGCAGGTGCATGCCACCACACCCTGCTCTTTCTTTTTTCTTTTTGGTAGAGATGTGGTCTCACCATGTTCCCTGACTGTTCTCAAACTCCTGGGCTCAAGAGATCCTCCCGCCTCGGCCTCCCAAAGTGCTAGGATTACAAGCATGAGTCACTGCACATAGCCTATTCTTCTCTTTTAAAATTTTTGGTTGAAATTCTGTTTTTCAAAGTTAGTTTGTTAGTTATTAATATTTGCAAAGTTTATTTATTTTTTTGAGACAGCCTCTTGATCTGTTACCTAGCTGGAGTGCAATGGCAACATAACGGCTCACTGCAGCCTCATCACTGCAGCCTCATCCTCCCAAGCTCAAATGGCCCTCCCGTCCCGACCTCCCAAATAGCTGGGACCACAGGTGCATACCACCATACCCGGCTAGTTTTTGTATTTTTAGTAAAGGTGGGGTTTTGCCATGTTGCCCAGGCTGGTCTCAAACTCCTGGGCTCAAGCTTTCGGTACACTGTGGCCTCCCAAAGTGCTGGGATTACAGGCATGAGCCACCATGCCCAGCCTGCAAAGTTTATTTGAGATAAACACAAAAAACAAATAATTTATTGGTCACACATTTCCAGTAATTATATTCACTTAATTAGTTCCACCCACAAAAATGGCATTTTGACTCTCTAAGATACAGTGGTACTTTACCATACACTATGATCATGGTATGGAATTCAATAAAAAGCGAATCTGTTTTAGATCCTCCAGCCAAAGGAGTTTTAATTAAGAACCAAAGGATTTATAGTAGTAGTTGCCAAGGACTGGGAGAGGTAGAAGTGGGGGCCAGGTGGGGGTGGATATAAGGAGATGTAAGTTTCAGTTATACAGGATGAATAAATTCAAAAGATCTAATACATAGTGTGTTGACTATGGTTAATAATGCTGTTACTGTATGATGTATCTGAAATTTGCTAAGAGAGTGGAACTTAAATGTTCTCGCCACACACACACACAAATGGTAACTATGTGAAGTGACCGATACATCATTTAGCTTGATTGAGGAAATTGTTTCACAATGTATATATCAAAACTTTACATTGTACATTTTCAATATATACAATTTTTTAATGTCAATTATACCTCAATAAAGTTGGAAAAAACCCAAAAGGATTTCAATATAATAAGGCAGCCTTACAGAAAAGTCTACAATGCCTGAAATACCAGCTCAGATCTTCTTTGATTTCCTATGTCAAATGTAACTTAAAATCTGCTTCTAGTAAAACTCTAAAATATTGTATAGGCACTACAAATCTATAATTTGCTAGAAATTGTTACCTGGCATTCTATAAAAAAGTCTTTTCCCATTTCCATCATTTGTCTGCAAATATCTACTGTCTGAAGACCAGTCCAGATGAGTGATGAAACTAAGGGATCCCAAACACTCGCCAACTTTTTTATAACGCTGAGCAACTCCATAAATATCAACTGAGCTGTCATTGCATCCAACAGCAAGGTAAGTTCCATCTGGTGAATATTTTAATTCATGAATTGCCTCCTTCCTATCTTTAATATGTACAACTTCCGTCATATCTCTGTTAAAAAGAAAAAATGAGACTACATGAACAGAAGTCACAACAGAATTAATTCCGTTTCAAACATGTCTAAAATGACTATGAAGCCGTATCAAGTGTTTATAAAAATAAACGTAAATAACACAAGTAGTATTAATTCAGGAACAATACATTGCTGAACAGAAATACATGGAAACAATATATGCCAAATGTTCAGGAAAATGCTGAATTTCAGTTTCTAAATTAAGTACTTTAGAGATCCATACTAAATTTCTGGAGTTAACAAAGAATAAAGGAAATAAAGTAACAAATTTTTATGGTAAAAGAAGTTCTTTGTAAATATGGAGTTTATGAAAAATGTTTAATTTAAACACTATAATTTTCAAACAATTTTTTTTGTAAGGAGCTAAATATGCAAAATTACATTCAAGAAATAATAAAGGATGAATTCATCTATATTACTTCAGTTTTATTTTATTTTATTTTATCTTATTTTATTTTATTTTATTGAGGCAGAGTCTGGGTCTGTTGCTCAGGCTGGAGTCCAGTGGCACGATCTTGGCTCACTGCAATCTCCACCTCCCAGGTTCAAGCGATTCTCACCTCGTGCCTCAGCCTCCCGAATAGCTGGGATTACAGGTGCACACCACCGTACCTGGTTAATTTTTTTGACCTTTTTAAATAGAACACACATTCCTTCCTTAGGGACCATGTTGAGCAGTGAAGTGGAACTTTTTTTCAATGATGACTTCTTATGGAGTATCCAAAATAATACAGATATTAGTAACAGCCAAAAAATAGAAAAATATGTAGTAAAACACCACTGAGTTTCCAAAGTTGTGGAGTTTGTGGGCAGGAGGAGGAGAAGCAGAGGCAGGGAAAAAAGATAGGAGGAAGTAAAAATTCTTATTTCCAATCAGTGTCAGAGACTTTTCTCTAGATAAATTTTGCCTTCATCAACTTCTGACTGTTACATGTGCAAGAATTAATCTTCAGTTGTATTTGAGTCACTATACAGCTGTGGGCCTGTTAATTATAGTGCTTAGTGATTACCCTAATCAAAGTAGTGTTAGAAACAGAAATAGAAAAATGAGCCCCAAGATAAATCCAAGATTGCATTCTTCGAACCTTCTGTACTTTTTTTTTTTTTTTTAAGTTTCCCTGGTTAACATCACTTTTGCCTCTTTGCAGGGTCCTCTTCCTATGCATAGACTCATACAGCTGCCTATGCATTTCCCAGGGACTCTTTCAAGTTAACATTAAATCCATATACCTTATTGCCCTTTGCTCCATATCCATCCATCCATCCATCCATTCCTTCCTCCCTATATGGAATAAGATTTTTAAGAAAAGTCTAAGACACTATTTGGCAGCTTTGACTTTTTATGCCTCCTTTATTTAAAATTTTATAATTATAATCACCTTCATGACCTTCATTAAAATGCTTCTGGAAAATTCTTCAGAAGTATTTTGGTATTTTTTATAGCATTTTTGTTCTAGAGACTTAATTGCTCCCAATTAATGAGAAGAATGGTTTATGTCCAAGGTTTTCTGTTAACATGCCCCCTGCTCACCAACACACGCACGCGCACACACACACACACACACACACACACACGGTAGAAGATAACAGAGAGAGATTCTGGTTGACTGACTGGTTTTTTAGTATGAATAACATTGCCATGTCAATATTATGAATTATATGACTACTCTCTCACACGAAGAGTTTCTCTGACAAATTTAAAGGAAAGATGACAACTATTAGATGAAAATTTGTTAATTTTTAAAAAACATTCTGAATTAAGTCTTCTGGGAGACTAATATATGATTACTATGGTTTCTTTTAAGAAGCAGAGGGAGGCAAAAGCCTGGGAATACTCATACATGAACAGTTCATAATACATCACAAAGTAAAGGTACAGAGTTGATCAGAGCATACAACAGAAGAATCCATTTCCAGCTGAGTGATTCTGGGGAGACATATCAAAGGAAGTGGAGCAGATAGCTATGACGTCTACATTTTATTCCGATGAATGAATGAGATTTAGCTTAGCAGAAGATAGGAACTGGAGGTAAAGACCCATGTTTCAGCAGAGACAATAGGATGTGAAAGAGCTGATGGCAAGAGAAAGCATTCAAGTTCAGCTTGCGACGGCCACTGTAGTTGAATGGACACAAGCAAGGGGACTCTGGTGTGAACTCAGTCTGCTGAGGGAGGCTGAGGGAAAATCATGAAGGGGGCCTCATATGTCTTGTTAAGATTTTTGGCCTTAATTTGTGAGGTTAAGCTAGGATAAGATGTACCAGTCAGATCGCTGATTTGGTTCCAAGGTAAAAAACAAATTAGGCTGGGTGTGGTGGCTCATGCCTGTAATTCCAGCACTTTGGGAGGCCGAGGTGGGCAGATCACGAGGTCAGATGGAGACTATCCTGGCCAAGATGGTGAAACCCTACCTCCACTAAAAGCACAAAAAATTAGCCCGGCGTGGTGGCATGCACCTGTAATCCCAGCTACTTGGGAGGCTGAGGCAAGAGAATCACTTGAACCTGGGAGGCAGAGGTTGCAGTGAGCCGAGATCACGTCACTGCACTCCAGCCTGGGCGACAGGGCGTGACTCCATATCAAAAAAAAAAAAAAATTAAAGGAGCATACTAATAGGATCAAGACCAATTAGAAGGTTACTGCAGATGACGGTTTCTCAGACTTCAGAAAAAAGTGAGCTTCTTTAAAATACAATGTAGTATAATATTCCATACTATTATAGGATATAATACGTACTATAGGTTAAAGATACAATTCTAATCTTATTCACAAACCTTAATTAAAATGTTCCTAGAAAATTAATTAGGAAAGCAAAATCAACAGGATGTGGCGGTGATGGATTACAGATATTAGGTTCAGGAGAAAGAGGTATCAAGGAAAACGCCCAGGTTTTTGCTTAGGTACATGGATAATGGTGCCATTCACTAGGATAGGGTCCATGGACAGACGATCAGTTTGGGAGGGATATCATGAGTTCAGTTTTGGAAATGCTGAGTTGGAGGGGCCTTTGAGACATCCAAGTGATGTTAAATAAGTAACTGGATATGCACAGCTCAAGTTTTGAGATAACGGCAGGAGCTGTGCATCCGGGGTCATCAGGCTATGCATGGTAACTGATGGCAGAGGCAGAATGAGACTAGCAGAATGAGACTACCTAGAAAATACAGAGCAAATATAGAGAAAATATAGAGCAAAAAGAAGAGAAACTCTAGGCCTGAGCCCTGAGGAACTCTAATATTTACTTGCTGGGCAAAAGTTAATTAGCCTATGAAGAAAATGGGGCTAGAGAAGTAAGCTGAAAACATAAAGAGAACAAACACCTAAAAGCCAAGGGAGAAAGCATTTTGAGAAGCAGCAAGTGGTTAAGAGAATCAAATACTGCTGGGAATTCAAGCTAAATGAGAAGTGAAAAATGTCTCCTAGTTTTAGGGACATAGGGTACAATTTTTCAACATAAAGCTGAAAGTAAAAGCCATATAGGAAAGAGGATAGAGGTTGATAAGTTAATTAGAGGAAAAGAGAGATTAAAGTTAGACGGTTTTATGAGAAATATTCCTGTGAAAGGGAAGAAAGTAGAAATGTGATGTAAGAGAGAGACACTTTGGTTTGAGGCATGAAACTTAATATGGGACACACTGAGCATGTTCTAATAGGGCTCTTTGGTGGGGGTGCAACCAACCATTTGATGTGAAAAAATAATGGACGTACACAAAGAGTTACTTTTTTAAAGCCAGGAGACAACTTTTGGAACTCACTACTCCCAAGAAGCAGAGCAGAAAAACTATAAATAATTTGAAAAAAAATTTAAATGAATGTGTGATTTCTTCAGCAAAAACTATCACAATCCCTTTTAAAGTTGATAAAATGTGGTAGTAACACTGCCAGAGACAGACAAGTGGCTAGCCATTGGTAGAATTTAAAATGACAATTTGACTGGGCATGGTGGCTCACGCCTGTAATCCCAGCACTTTCAGAGGCCAAGGTAGGAGGATTGCTTGAGCCCAGGAGTTTGAGATCAAGTGGGCAAAATGACAAGACCACATCTCTACAAAAAATTAAAACATTAGCTAGGCATGGTGGCTACTTCCAAGTAGTCACAGCTATTTGGAAGGCTGAGATGGGAGGATCGCTTGAGCCCAGGAGTTGGAGGCTGCAGTGAGCTGTGATTGTGTTACTGCACTCCAGCCTGGGCAACAGAGCAAGACCTTGTCTCAATCAATCAATAAACAAAATGACAATTTTATATATTTACAATTATTAATAGTCTATCCCATACCCTGTAGGAAACCTTACTCCATCTTCAGCATAATTTGTTAGCCTTGCTAATCAAGCTCTTCCACTATTATGAAGTCTCCCTACCTATTCATGAGAAGGAATGGGTGCCTCTGAGGAGTTTGCTGTTGATAACACAATGTAGCTTACTATAAGTCAAAGTTCCATACGTGTATATATAATTTTCTATTTTAAAATATTTGTAAGTTTTCATTTGACTCTATGATATGAGCATTTTTTAACAGAAAATGGTGGGAAGTGAGGACAGCAAAATGGTAGAAAAGGACATTCCAATGCTACTTCCCTTGCAGAAATACCAATTTGAATCATCCATGCATAAAAATACCTTCACAAAGGAGACAGACACATGAAAATCCCTTCAAAAAATTAATTAATCCAGGAGCTGGTTTTTTGAAAAAATTAATAAAATAAATAGACTGCTAGCTAGACTAATGAAAGAGAAAAGAGAGAAGAATCAAATAGATATAATAACAAATGATAAAGGGGATATCACCACTGACCCCAAAGAAATACAAACAAGCATCAGAGAATACTATAAACACCTCTATGCATATAAACCAGGAAATGTAAAAGAAATGGATAAATTCCTGGACACATACACCCTCCAAAGACTGAATCAGGAAGAAACTGAATCCCTGAATAGACCATTAACAAGTTCTAAAATTGAGGCACTAATAAATAGCCT